TCAACATTAGTTCAAACAGACAATGGTCTTAGGATCGGAAGGATTGACCAAAGTACGTAATCCACAGACTACCTGGTTCACTTCATATCATTGAGCAAATTGTGCATCTGCCTTCATAAATAGAAAATCAATTAGGAATACATTGTCTTACCTTAAGAACAATCCTTTCCTTTGCAAGATTGTAAATCTCATTTAGATTTTAGATTGTTACAACTTACAACTATGTTGCCCCCACTATGGGCAAGGGTCATCTTGCAACTATCCTTCATCATGATGGAAAATAAGTCTTTGAGAAACCTTCTAGTTGCAAACTTTTTCTTTTTCAGAACAACATCTTCCAGGTGGGCAATTGTTGATGCCTGAAATCCAAGCCTTCATCCTTTGGTTTTTAGTCCATATCATATGATTTTTCTTTAGTCTTTTAGAAAACTTACTAAAAGGCCAAGCTCAGCCCAATGGACCAAATTATATGTACCTGATACATTGGCCAAGTAATCTAGTTCCTAAGGAAAAAGAAAAAGAAAAAGCAAAGTCAGGGCTAAAATCAGCCCCATGTTAGCAGGCTGTCATTCTCGAAGGGAATAGTCAGATTTACAAAACCTTAAAAATCACAATGCTTACGCAAAAAAATCTACTATCTAATTGGGATTTGGAATTCAAAGTACAGGTGAAATCAATCACACTCGCAGGGACCCTCACGCATATGAATCTGATCATTACATTGAGAAGCTTCAGAAAGCTGTCTGTTTATTCCAACCCTACATGTCATGGTTTTATGGTGAAAAAGAAATAAACTCCTGTGGATATTTGAACAAAAAAAACTGTATTTTGCATTCCTCGAGACACACTATAAATTAGATCTTCTTGTATGCATCAGATGAACCATCGAACAAAAAGCAATTTCTACCCTTACACTGCACTATTCTTCCAGAGCAATGGGCATCTTCATCAATAAAAGCAATAAACTTGATTCGGTAAGACATAGCTAACTAAAATGAACAATGAACAATTAAATAACTCATAAGCATACATTCGTTGCCCGACATAAACCATCCCCTTTAGTAGAAACAACATTTAAAGCTAGTAGAAGCACACCATAAGATACTAACAGGATTTTCAATCTGTTGCAAAGAATTATAGATACCAAATGATAGAAAAAAAATGTCGAACTTGCAGAAAACCGAAGAGCGATACATTATTTCTCACAAAAATGAACCCACCAAGCATAGTAAGATATGAAAATAAAGCATACAAAAAATATGATACATTGCAAAAATTCATCAATTGTTTGTCTTAACAACCAGAATGACTCAAGACAACATAAATGAGCGGAATCAAATCAACAAGTTGCTTACTCACCTGCAATCTATCACCTTTTTCGACGATATCGATCTGCAGCATCCAATCCGCTTGTTCCTTCTTCAAATTGCAGATATTCTCGGCGATCTCTATGATCTGAAACTCCGACACCTAATCCAAACACAGTTTTAGAGGAGGAATTGCGTCAAGATGCAGAGCTTTAGAACCAAAACCGACCAAGGGTTCAAGATCAGGGAAAACCAACCTTTTTCGGAGAGACCTGAGCCTCCTTGTCCATCACCTGGCGGTAGATCTGGTGGGCGACCTTCTCGCATACCTGGCACTTGATGTAAGGGATATCTTCTCTTCTCGCCGCCGAAAATGGCTTTTTCTGGGACGAAAGGGAGACCGGGACGGAAGACAATAGGACAAAAAGAAAGGAGAGAACGAACAGGCCTTTGGAGAGCGCCGCCATTGCTCTCCTCCTCTTGCCTCCGCCTCTTTCTTCGAGTCTTCAGCCTCGTAGTCGCGCAGAGGTCATCGATCCACCCGCTATTTAGGATTGCCTGAAACAACGGCCGTTACATAAGCTATCATAACGTTTGCAGAGTGTCTCGTTATATTAAACAGGTTTCACGCACGTGCCATGCACGTGATAAGCGATGTAAGAAGCTGCCATGTTACATATGTTCTATAGCAAACGTTATGTGATGAGACTAGTAATAGTCACGAGGGTATTGTTGAAATTTATTTTTCTTCTTTTCTTTTGGATTTTCTGTGATAAAGACATATATCTTAATTTTTAGATAATACTTTTGGCTAATCTTTATTTTTTTATTATAATTAATTACGATAATCATTTTCGATCAGATAATCATGAGTCATATGAAGTTCTAAACTCTTAATCATTGAATAATTTTTTTTATTTAAGATTAGGCTGTGATTTAGTGGGATGTAAGAGCTGTAATTTATAATTATGCATGATTGACATTTCCAAGTAATAGTTAGAAACTTGTGCTTAATAGCATACTACGGAGGTTATTTTCGGCAAGGTTCATTGTACCGTATCGTATCGGCGTTTCGATCCGGGCTCGGTACAGTACGGTACCGGTGTACCGGACGGTATATTAGGGCGTACCAAATATTTTTTTTATTTTTCATACTGTAGCAGTGCTATGGTATAGCACTGTAGTACTGTAGCGGTACCGGTAACCTATCGGATCGGTACGTACCGCCTAGTACGGGTGGTACGTTTCGGTACGGCAGACCTTGATTTTCGATAAATTGAATTAATATCGTAAATAAATTATTTTATTATTTCTAATTATAATTCTAAGAGAAAATTAATAATATTATAGTGAATTGAAACTTGTCACAAAAGAGAAAAAAAAACAAAGGAAAGGAAGGAAGAAAAGCATGCTTCATATGCATCACAATAGATTGATGAAGCATCAAGACTCTACCTTTGAACAGATGCAACTATTCCTTGCTGATCCTCACCTGCCAAGAGAAAAGACAAATTTAAAGGCACTTTCTGTATGTTTCGGATGACCTAACAATGTCGATTGCAGTAGGAAAGCAGTGTTCCATACCTCGTTAACCATCCTTCTTTCTTCACTTCTCAAGGTGAGCTTGACACCTGCATAGCCTCCATGAAAGACAACTACAAGGACCACAGCAGTTCCTCCTCATGGAATGCTCACTGTGGGCTCTCCAGTGGCTTTGGTGGATCTTTCTCTGCAGTCCATGCCACTCCCTCAGCTGAAAAGAATGTGAAGAGAAGAGTCCTCAGCATGCTCACAAAGGCCTTAATGATCTGAAAACCCTTTCGAGTTTGTTGATGAGTTGTTGACCGAATTCCCACTGTCATTCCCTTTGTTTAGACAAAATGTTTGCAGGATCTCTTTTGCTGCCATGAGTTGTTAGAACTCAGCAATCATGCTCAGAAGATCCTCAATCAATGTGGCACTTTTATATATGCTTTCTTGTGGAATGACACCAAAGGATGTGTCAGTCATCAGAGGAGCAATTTGCAAGTGTGAGGTCAGTGGTTGAGCTCCCTGAGTTGGACATTTCCACAACCCAAGCTACCTCTCCCAATCGAAAGGGACTTTGCTCATTATTTGTGATGCAGACTCACTAACCAAACCAAGCACAGGCGAAGACTACGCTGCTTGTCTCATACATCACTCTCCTCGTGTTGTAGGATTATATAAGTAGTCCAATGAGAGGTGAACAAAGTAGAGATCATATTATGGACTTTGTTGCAGGTGTTTCTTTTGCCTTTTCTCTAAGATAGCATGGAAAAACAATATAGCATATCATCCACACACACACACATGCGCAAGTCAAGCCATCTGAACTTGGCATTCAATGTTGTGCCATAAATCATGCCCCTAATTAAGCTTTGACTACATAAAGTTGGATTCTTGTTTTGAGTCTTAAATGAAACTTGAAATGGGGTTATGGTTCTGCATATAACAATGACAACATCAATACTTCAATCCACAACAAGATCTAAAGTCAAACCTAAATAGTTTCTCCACCAGAATGCATGGAAAGAAGTGTCTCTCTATCAAATTTACATAGTGCTTCCAAGTGAGATATATTTCGACTAATCCTCGATAATTGGCTTCCCAAAAGAGCAGCTACTTGAGCACTATCCAAGTAAGCATTGGGTCAGACTTGCTTTCTCAAAATTTCCACATGCAATGGTTGGGTGAAATTTTTCTGAAGGTCAAAGTTTGGCTTCTTCTTAGCCTATCATCTATCTTATTGAGAGTGCAAAATGAACCATCTCCTCAGAAGGTAGAAAAGTATGTATGAACCAACTCATGAGATAAGACATGTATTCTGCCAAATTTGCCTTCTTTTTCCTTGGATCTGATAGAATGTGAAGACAAAGTTAGGTTGCCATCTTGACACCTAACTTGTAATTTATCTTTGAGCAGCCATCAAAAAACAAAAGACCACCAGATTCATTAGGTTGTGGAAGAGGAAAGCCATCTCTATGCAATTTATTTGCCTCTTGCCTTTCTTTTAATGTTGCTCTTCAATGTTCACTGTTGATCACAAGTCTTCCGTGCAATGCCTAATTGATGATGGCAGGCCAAAAACGCTTCAAGAAGAGTCCGATGGTTGATCATTGAAGGAGATGTTTCTCCTACATCTGTAGCGGAAATTGATTTGAGCCTAACACCATCTACCATCTCTTGACTCAAAATTGTTGACCACTTCACCATTTCGTTGACTTATGTTGACTTTTCACCCCCTCTTCGGTTCGAGGTAATCGAGAATCTTACGCATGCAACGCCAGTGCGATGGATCGAAAGGAATATTGGAATCAATTGCATTCAGTTTTGATCGAGAAATTGGACCAATTGTTATGATTAAAACCATGGGGATTTACTTAAAAGAAATCTAATTTTTGGTAATGGTCAAAATTAAGAACCCACGAGACCTGGTCAAATCTCCGTTGACCGTCAAATCGGACGGTCGAGATTCCATCCATTTATCGAACCTATCCACCGAACTTGGGCCCCGCTAAAAGGGTACTGTCGTCAATTCGTAATGGGCTTCATGGGCATCGGGTGCGGTCACCCCCCGTTCGCTCACCGCCCTCGCCGCAGGCGTCGGTGCGCTTAATCGCGATTAAGGCAAAAGCCAAGGCGCACATATATAAGCGGGAGAGGGGATGGCGCGTTTTGGTCCATCCTTGGGAGGGCAAGGCGATGGGGGAATCGAGCGGGTCGGTCTCGGTGGATGTGGAGAGGATCTCGTTTGGCGGAAAGGTTAGGGTTCTCCCGGATCCGTTGGGGCTCCTCTTGTTTCTCCCTTTCTGTGGCATCGTCGCGAGTGACATCTTGGATCTTGTGCTGGTTGTGCGGTGGAGTGCGTCAATCTTTTTGTTTAGTGTATTGTTTGTGTTCTTCTCGAGGTTTTTATTGCAATCAGTGTGATACGGCGGTGTGGTTGCCTTTTTAATGGTTTTCATGTGTGGTTTCCGGTGGTGCATTCGATCGTTTCGTGCTGGAGCTGAATGTGTCGATGGTTGTGTTATAGATTTGCTGTTGACACGGCGGGTCTTGATAACTGATTGCTCGGCGGTGTATGGGATGTTGAAGTTGCTGCCTTGCATCTGATTTCGGATTTTGATGGTGGTTTTTCGCTCTTTTCTCACCTCCTTATGGCTATTCTTTTGAGCATAGAGATGTAAAAATGGTCTTTTTAGTTGGTCTGATTCTTCTCTTTTGTACTGTTGAGCTTGATTTATTGTCCCTCGAAACTTCTTGGTGATCATCGATAGGTCTTTGAACGTGGCTCGATAAAATGCAAGGGGAATCATCTTTTGGCTTATACTATGAGTAATGGGGCCTTTGTACTCCGTGCCTTTAGTACCCAAATGATGTTTAATGCGTAAGAGTACAGTTAATGATCCCTTTTTCCATCAGCAAAATGTTACTTATGGATTTAGGAAGAAAAAAAAAAGGTAGGAGTTTATTTATTTCTATTTCAGAGGTTGAGGTTGTGTTCTTTAATTATCTCTGAAGGTTAAACTGGATCCTTAAGGGGCATCGCGCGTTAACAAAGAATACTGATCATTTGTGCAGTGGTGGATGACTTCATTTGTAGTTGAGTTTATATGAGTCATGCGCCAGAGATGTTCAGCCTTCTCAATTTTGACAACAACAAAAAGAATATTATAATCTCTTAATTCTTCATGGCGTTAGCCAAGATGAGTAATTCTCATTTTATTTAAGTGTGAAATAGATGTTATTGCACTTTTGTAGTCAAGGTAAGTTACAGTGAGTCTAATCCATGTTACTGTAATATTTTGACAAATCCAATAGAATTCTGGTCATAATATTTCTTTGAGCTACTCCATATGAAAATATATAGAGCCATCAGCTGACATACTGGAAGTTTGCAGTCCAGGTTCTTTTGCTGTTTCTTATAGCCTTCTTGCTTATGCTTTAAAATTAAGTTTTTTTGTGCTTTAATTATCTATATTTCTTTTTCTTCATTGATGCTCAATGGTATGAATGCTTTTGTTACTCCCAGGAACATCATGTGCCAACCAATCATGGTCCCATATCAGTTGTGGTGTATGGGGATCTGGAGAAGCCTGCACTTGTTACTTATCCAGATGTTGCCTTAAATTGTAAGTTGTTTGACAAGCAAATTCTTATTTCTTTCTGATATTTTCTTAGTAGAGAAGTTTTTCGGGTGTAATGATATGCTTTTGTTGATTTGTTCAGATATGTCCTGCTATCAAGGATTATTTTTTTGCCCAGAAGCGGCTTCTTTGCTGCTTTATAATTTCTGCATCTATCATATTAATCCTCCAGGTCATGAGGTCGGTAATCAGATTGCAGCTACACAATGATTTATATTTACAAGAAAAAAGTATGTGTTCTCAAAATCTTGAACTCTATGTCAATGTAACATTTGGGTCACTTTCCTTAAGAATCCTGCAGTTTGGTGCTGGTCCCATTTCTTCAGATGATCCAGTACTGTCTGTTGATCAATTAGCAGATCAGGTTGCGGATGTGCTTGATTTCTTTGGGTAATGAATTGTACTTTTCTTTTTTCTCCAAAAGGATCATATTCTTTGAAAAGACGTGGTTAATTTTTGATTTTATGTTTTAATTTCTTATAACTTGCTCCGTGCAGATTAAATACTGTCATGTGCTTGGGAGTTACAGCTGGAGCTTACATTCTTACTCTTTTTGCTGTAGGTCATTCTGCTGCCTAGGTTCTTTTAGTATTTGCTTATTCTTAATTTTTATTAAATTATGATTTTTCTGTGTTTGTAAAGTCGAAGTATAGGGAACGGGTTCACGGTTTGATACTTGTCTCACCTTTATGTAAAGCTCCCTCATGGAAAGAGTGGTTGTACAACAAGGTATGTTCTTGTTACCAATGTTTTCTTTTTGTTTCTGATTGTGGCAAATAACAACCGCTGCTAATAAACAAATCTGAATCTTTAGGTTATGTCAAATTTTCTGTACTTCTATGGAATGTGTGGCTTAATTAAGGAATGGTTGATTCAGCGATACTTCAGTAAGGTGTGTTAGCAGCGCCTGGCTTCTGCCTTTTACCTTGTATTATATCATCTGTTTCATATCTTATTTTATTTTGTCAGGAGGTCCGCGGAAGTTTTCAGGTTCCTGAGTCAGATATCGTACAAGCCTGTAGAAGTGTTAGTATTCACCTCTTCTGATGCTCTGCATTTAATTTGGGAGTGATGTTGAGCTTTAGTGCTGTATGCAGTCTTTGTTGAAATTGTTCGCTATTCTTTTATGCAGTTACTGGATGATAGGCAGAGTGTCAACATTTGGCGATTTCTTGAGTCTATAAATGAGTATGTTCTTAGCTCTTTCCATCTTGCTATCACTGAAGAATGAATAATGAAATCTCGACACCTTTTATGCTTTAACAGACGACCAGACTTGACAGAAGCATTAAAGAAACTCCAGTGTAGGACTCTAATTTTTGTGGGTGAGAACTCTCCCTTCCATTCAGATGCCGTCTACATGGCCACCAAAATGAACAGAAAATTCAGTGCCTTGGTTGAGGTACTTCATCTGTATAAATTATTTTCATTGACAATGTCAGTATCATACACGTCATTGGTCAGAATGAAGGATGATTTATGTTACAATTGATTTGTATTTGCAGGTTCAGGCATGTGGATCTCTTGTGACTGAAGAGCAACCTCATGCAATGCTCCTACCGTTGGAGTACTTCCTTGTGGGTTACGGTTTGTACAGGCCAAGCCGGCCAAGTTGCAGCCCCAGGAGTCCGCTCAGTCCATCATGTATATCCCCAGAACTGCTTTCGCCGGAGAGCATGGGTGTGAAGCTGAAGCCCATCAAAACTCGCATCACACTTTAAGTTTGAATTAAAGCAGAGGAGATATATGACGTTTGGCTCAGTGAAGCCTCGCCCAACTTACACGATCCATATTGTGAAAATTGTAGAATATCAGTCTGTAATTTTGACTCTAGATTTGTTTTTGGTGGCCTTCAATGTGGATCAGGTCACTGTAGTATAGATGAATAGAAGGGGGAACATTGCAGAGGACAAGCTGCAGAGAAGGGGATGTTCAGTAGATGTGATTGTATCGCATTCATTCTGAGTTATACAACCTGTAAATCTTCATTATTTACTTCGTTCATTAATAATAAACTGCAGTGAACTGTTCTTGGTCACTGCACATGTGTTGTATCTGCTCTTTTTCTTTCTTCGACTTATATTTTGGATCTTCATCATATCTTGGCAACAGTCTATGCTTTCATTTGAGAAAAAAGGTAATTCGATGCTTTCTTTTTTAGCACTTTGGTTGGTCGGCCATTGGATGATGATTATGCCAACAGCTCCAAAGAATGTGTTCTTTGAATTGCTTTATCATGGATCGATTATGTTGCTGTCTAGGTAGGATGGTGGGTGGTGAATAGAGCTTCATTCAATATGTCATGCAGTGGAATGATGTGTCAGATGCTAAGGTCTGAACCAAAGCAGCAGACCTGCGCAAGCTTTATCCAACTCCATGGTATCTATCACACATCTGCAACACCCTGTCAAATTTGGTGATCCTGTCTTACTAGTTTGATTGCCCATCTGTATCAGGAAATTGTCAAAGATTCCATCTCTGATAGATTGTGCACATTGTAACAGATAGAACAGCATGAATTTGTTATCTTTCATGGATTGACCATCCTTTATAATTTTCTGTGAACTTTGGCAGGCAGCTCAGCTTCAGCCAAAGGTTTCTTGGAGCTACTCTATGGACGTCAGCTTCGCTTTGGTGGATACAGCTGTGGGGATATGGGAAGCCCGGGGAAAGAAACGTGAGATATCTCATCAGCCCATCACAGTACCCTCCAAAGTGTAGTGTGTCCTCTTGTTGGAACTTGTCATGCTGCCCTTTTGACTGTGACAGCAGCAGCAGCAGAGGGAACAAAGATGATGGTACGCGTGTTGGGTTCTTCTGCTTTCCTGCTGTCCTCCAAACTCGTTCCATTCCATAGCTAAGTGTAATCCTTTCCCCTAGTGACAAACGAGGATGATGCTACGCGTGTGGTGTTCTTCTGCCTTCCTGCTGTCCTCCAAACTCGTTCCATTCCATAGCTAAGTGTAGTACTCCTTTCCCCTGCTTATCATTAGGCGTGTTCAAATGGGAATCAATTAGAATCAAATAATAAATTTAAAATTAATTCAATTCGAACCCATTCATCAATAATTCAAATTTGAAAACTATGAATGATTTTAATTTGATCAATATTACATATTACCAAAGACAGTTCACATCAACGTGTATATGGCACCAAATTCAAGCTCGAATGGATCCATCGACTGCTTACATCAAAAGAGTGATTTTGACTAATTGGATATACCAAATGTAATTCTATGTAATCCAAAATGCTTAAGCTCAAATTAAATTATCAGAAACCTCTACATCAATTATAGAACCATGAAAGGCAAGCATCAGATGAGATGTACACTACTACATTAGCAAATAAGATCACACTGAGACTAGTGCAGCTGTTACTTGCAAATAAAGTTTTCAGCAGATTATTATCATAATGATTACTTGTTATAAAATAAAAAATGAAAACATTAATATAAAAGTGATTGCCTAGAGACATGAAAGTAGACCTGCATTAGAATACATGACACAATACAATAGAAGGCATCGAGCCTACTTATTTGACAGCTTGAACAAAATTAATATCAATTTCAGACTGACATTAAGTGGTCCAGAGTGATTCCTAAACCGCAAAGATTTTATGATCCAAAGATCAAGTGGTTGAGGCATCTCGGCCTACAACATAGATGCAAACAGGAACCATGATAAGAAACTTTCACAAGCTTTGACATGCGAGTCAACGATACAAGCACCCATGCCCTTGTATAGCAGATCCTGAAACAGCGCTTTGGAAACCCCGTCGTGGAAATTCCTTGTGTATTAGTTGCAGGAGAGTTATAATGGACCCTGAAATAGGCCACAATTATAAAAGATTTGCAATCTTTCCCAAAAAAATTTAATCTGAAGAAGTTGCTTCCACGATGGGAGATACAAATTGCCCCGTAGATTTGCATAGCATCATTATCTGGCACCAACATGTACATCCTCCTGCCCCTTGCTCATTGTAAGTAATAACAGCCTTCGGAAGAAAACCGAAATTTCAAAAAAATTGCAGAGTGAGACCTCTCCAGTGCCATCTTCATGAATAGTACATATACAGACTGTTCATAGCAGCACAGGCGATTGAATTTTCAGTTGGGTGCCATGCTAAATGAAGTAATTTTGTAGTGAAATCACATGAATTTCCATTGGCATCGATTCCTGGGCTTTCTGCTCCTGTGGCAATTCAACTCAAGCATGAGACAGCACAGAGCACAAGAAATGCACTTTGAAGGCTTTCAATTATCAAAGAATACAGAGAGAAAAAACCACAGTACATAAGCACTAACCACGTTTGACAACACGTGCCAAGGTGCTCAAAGATCTTGCAGGCTTTGGGGTGGTTTGCACTTGTCGCCTATGGGATTTCATTTCAAAAAAGACAATCAGCTATAATGAATCGTTCAATCATAAAGCAGAATAAATGTATCAGTGACTGGGTACTCTATTACATGGACGAACCAACATAACTAGATCATATTAGTTTTATAACAAATTAGAGATATGGTACCAAACACCCATCGGTCACTTATTGATGCTCAACATGTTTGCTAGACAATAAATTATAGAATTTGAGGTTAAAAATGTGTTTTAACAAAATCTGCTCATGACCTAAATCAACAGTTCCTTCACTACAAGATTCTAGATTACATGTAAATGCACTATCGGCCATAAAGGAGCTAGTTTCTGAATTTACAGTAGCAAAAAGTTCAATTACCTCGTAGGATTTTTACTGGCTTCCAAAGTTGTTGCTTCATTGCTTCCAGGTGTACAGCCAAATACACGGAAAATATTACTGCAATTGAATTAATGCTAGAATATCAGCACAAAATCACAGTGAAACAGTATTTCAAATGGATAATTATACCTGTAAGAACCAGTTGCCACACGCAATCCGTCTCCGCTTAGACAGCAATCAAACTTGTCAAAGATTGAATCATTCTCATATAGATCACATAGCTGAAAAGCAATGATTGGTGTGGTTACCGGTTCCACCCTTGTTAATGTATAGGATACTGACTCATCAAAATTAGACACAGAAAAACATTAACAGAAAAATAAATCTCACCATAGGTCTTAAATGCTCATGGACCTGGAAAGTTGCAACAGGACCTGACTCCATATTAATGTCCCATAGCTGACAGATATAAGAGAAAATTATACAAGGCAAGAAGTGTCTTTAAACTGAACAAGGAGAAAAAAACCAAATTATGTTGTTTATTCCTCACTCTATTATACATTAGGAAAATAATACACAATAAGATAATGCACAAACACAAGCCAAAAGCCATAGTAACATCCATCAAATATGATTTGATAAAGAGACCTTTTATTCCACCACTCTGTGCCATACCCACCTCACCTACACTTGTGATAATTGAAACTTGATCAAGGGTTTAGTTAGTTTCAAGGAATTTGGGCTGGAAATTTTCAACCTGACCTCAGTTTTGGTTGTTGGGGTTGATGCAGAGACCAACTCTAAGCCAAATCCAAACTGAACCTAGTCTAACACAATCCAATTTGACAATAACAATGTATACAACTCATGTAAATCTTTTTTAGTATCATTTTTATATTAAAATTATATATATTTTAGCAGTTATGTATACAACTTGAGTAACCTGTTCCAACCCATAACAGCTATTACCTGAGATTAGCCCAACTCTACTATGGGTTGGGTTTCGTTAGGGTTGAGGAACTTATCTGTTGGATTGGATTAGGCTTCTACCCACTGGAACCATGGTCCCGGTTCCTCATTCTGATCACTATGGTACATGGTCTAGGTCATCAAAATTGAGCATTCAATTAAAAAAAACCATGAAACCAACCTAAAAATTGTTATTCCTACATTAGAATCTATCAAAAAAAGCTCAACACAACAAAAGAAATAAATAATAAAGAAAATTTTACTGATTTAATAATTTTCATGTCTTCTACTTCCATTGCTGTTGATCCAATTAGATGCATGGTGAATTATCTTGTAAGACAATTTTTTTCTAATATAGCAATTGACCTTAGGTAATTTGATAGATACCATGACTCAGAATAACAAACCAATACACCCACAAACCATGAAGCTAAGCTAAGTGGCATATCCCATACCCATACTGTGACCTGAAAAGTCCATAATACTCTGGGAGTCTGGATTTACCTTCAACCGGACCAAACTGTAACTCACCTTTGTTACACCCTACAACTTGGTTCAGCTGGGACACATGTGGAGTTAGTAACTACTCCTCAAGGTAAGTGAGACAGGTACAACTACAGGAAGGTAGAGGCATTTCTTTTTTCAAAAAATGGCGATGGCAACTACCAGCAGAAGGTATAAGCACAAGACTAACGGGGCTACCAGAAACATTAGCAACAAAATTCCACATACCATAACGACATGAATACTTGTAAACAATAAACTTTGAGATCTCACTAGAGCTTCTCAATACAGAAAACACAAAGAAAGGAAAAAAAACAGTTAGAAGAATAAAATGGAGGAACCTTAAGGGTCATATAATCACGACTAAGGATGTGCCTTCCATCTTTTGCAAATCTAATATCTGAAATTGATGCAATGATCTCTGTGAAAAAAGATCTTGAACCAGGTGCTTCCCGTTCCTCAAACCTGTTGGTAGTCACTCACTAGATATATTATCTAATGTCAAGGATTGAGGCTTAATTTTATTTAGAGGCAAGTACTGCATTATGATTCATTCTAATGAAGGAGGAACTCAATCTGCTAAAAGAACTTACATCTTAAAATGTTTATCACATAATGCTGACTGTCGTAAGTCAAGAAGCCGGATTGAGCCCTTCGAGCTACTATATGCTAGCATGTTGCAATGGGTTGGGTGGAACTCAGCAGATGTTATCACCTCTGAAATGTGACAGAATTTACAATTCAAAAAAATATCATAACCCAAAATCTAGTTAAAAGACAGAATTTTGAACCTATAAAGGAATAGTATAAATACACTGTCAACATTAAGAAAGGATGAATTAACAGGAACAATAGAAAAATAAAGCTGCAGAGGGAAATAAATAGAGAAGTAGCAATTGTTAAAAGTTAAAACAACCAATGGGCCACCTTATAACGTGACATCATGTGGAGCCACATCTAACAAGTTCAGTGGAAAACAAGTCTCAAGCAGACATCTTAAGGATCTTACTCTCACCATCCGTTACATAGCCACATCTTATGAGTTTCAGTGGAGAACGAGTCTCAAGCAAGCATCTCAAGGATCTTAATATCATGAACAACATCAACAAAGTGATACAAAAGAAGCAAACCGCACAACCTATTTTCTCACTAAAGAATGGGGAAATATGATTTCACAATTTATTCATAGCTGACTGAAGGCCAACGAACCAAAACATAACCATTAACAAACAAATACATGCACTTCTACGTTCAAGCCAGTATTTAACATTCACATGATATCAGAAAGCCAAAAGGACCACAAATTATTGTCATGGAAAGGCAAAATTGTTCTGCAGAGATTACATTCTCAGTAAATTTAGTGTACTTATTAATCCATTAATTCATAGCTGACTGAAGGCCAACGAACTAAAACATAACCATTAACAAACAAATACATTCACTTGTTCGTTCAAGCCAGGATTTAACATTCACATGATATCAGAAAGCCAAAAGGACCACAAATTATTTTCATGGAAAGGCAAAATTGTTCTGCAGAGATTACATTCTCAGTCAGTTTAGTGTACTTATTAATCCATTAATTTGGCTATAGCTTCATACAATATTTTACACTTAATTTGACTGCAAGTTCATTTATGGTAGCAACTAAAAACAAGGTTATTCTTTTCCTTTTTTTCTTTTTTGGCTTTTGATGCCTTATATGGTTGTATCAACTATCAAGTAAATGTTAACACCTTAGACCAAGCAAACATAATTTTCTAGGCAAAAAGGCTTCCCTTTTTATGACAGCTGAACCAAGAGTCATTATAGAACCATGAACATAACAAAACAAATTTACTATACTTCATCTATTGATCCAATGTTCCAATGTTGCCTTCTCACAGAAGCCAGCAAGTGCGATGAATCATTTTTGAAAATACAAAAAAAAAATTGATGGGCTCTATTGATAAACAAAGGTCCCTACATACTTGGATAAAACAATTCATGAGAGGCAATTATTTTTGCATTTTCAGTAGGAAAATATGTTCAAGATTCACAACATAGCTAATATAAGTAAGAATGCCTACTCAAGCCCTTAATACTAAAAGAATAATATTAATTTCAAATAAGAAATTAATACCAGTTAGGTCCTCCATATTTGCAGGCTTCACATCAACAATATTAAAGCTTTGATTGCTGATTTCCAAATTCCACAAGTTTATTCGCAGATCGTCTGCTGATATGAATGTCTCACCATCACTGAGAGGAAGAAATAAAATTAGCAGTTTGTTTCAATGAAGCTCAAAGCATACAAGTAGACTCTCAAGCATATCTAGTCACCAAACAAGAATACTGCAGTAGATAACATAACAAAAGGTGGAGCAGACAAAGTTGACATATTATTATAGAAAGGATTCCTATTCCCATCATTTAAAAAAGACTGATACAAATACCAAAACGACTAAGCAAAAGCTTACTTATGGATTATAGCAAAAGCTTCAAATGGTTAAATTAAGTAAATTCGAGCATTAAAGTGTATACATAAATTCATCACCAATTATTCATTCTTGATAATTTCATGTCTGGTTGCTGCAGCCTATTCAGAAAAATAACAGCTCATAGAAGTTTTAACTTCAATAAAAGATTTCTAAGTGTCTCCACCAAGGAAACCAAAAAATTGTCAGCACACAGAGCAAAGAAGTTTGTTGGATGCTGACACTCTCTTGTAATTAGACCAGATAAGCGCCAACGGAATACTTAGAGATTGGCACACTGAAAAGATAAATACAATTAAATGTTTCTATTGAGAATAAAATATGAATGGCAACATGTTCATAGTTTAGGAATGAATTCTTCCCTGAAAATCATCAACAAGTTGCTGCACATCCAATTTATGTTCCAAAGGTGCTCTCAACACCATGAAAAAGTGACATATTGACATTTAAATATACTGTAGTACTAAAGGTCAATTTTTGTGCTCACATAATAATTAAAAATAAATAGCTAAATTTTCTTGGCAAAGCGACCTTACACACTTCTAACAAAATGCAGACTCTCCTGGGATGATAAGAAGGGGAATCCAAATGCCAATTTCATACAATAGTTCTGGCAGATTGATTAGTTCATTCAAGCCTGTACATATAACAGATATTGTGTGATACTTCAGAAAGATGTGTCAACTAATTCATTATACACAAACAACAATAGGTAACAGCCTCACTTGCATTATTTCGAAATGGCACCTCATGTAGTAAAGTCATTCACCATGCACCAGAAGCAATGCCAAAAGAAACTCAACCAAGTGTTTACCATCTTATGAGCTGTGGTTATCGATATTCACATGTATCCAAAGACTAAAGGATAAGACTAGGTATAACAGCATACTCACTTGTTCATGTTCAATAATGAATTATTAGTTGAAGTGCTCAACTTTATAGACAGAGTATGGTCATTTCCACATCTCTTCTCCCCCTTGTAAAACATCAAAATAATCCTAAAATAGATCACTTATAAGCAACTAATTCCACAAATAGCACGGTCAAACATGATGTAGAATCTGTAAAAGAGTTGGCTGAGAGCAGATACATCAGATGGCATCACTAAAATCCATTAGTGGGACCAGAATTAGCTGATAGAAACCTAAATGCATGAAACAGAAAAGAAACATCACGAGTATAAAAAGCGAATGGATCTGATGGAGTAATTAAAGAACTAGGACGCTAGGATAACCGGGGATGATTCACCTGTTATTTGAAATAGAATTTATGTGGTAATCATGAGCATGGGCATATATCCTTCGACATCTAGCAATTAGACTTGTCTCCTGGCTCGTCACCTATGTATACAAATATGCAATGACCATTATTCATTGAATTAGCATAACAATACACATGCATTCTATGAAACAGAAAGGGATGCAGATGAGTAAAGAAAGCCATCACTATATTAATGTTTGGTGAAATGCAAGACATACAACTGAGCTGTGCCAGGCAGCTATAGCAATTCAGTCAATTTAATGAATGCATAAAAAACTGCTAGATGCCTTCTTGTCATGCATGCATCTAGGCTACACATTATATTTTTAATGTCCAATAGATGGATTAAGCCCAACTACCACAGGCAGACGTAATGATGGAAACCCTCCAGGAGGCAAGGACAAGTCATTGCTCGAGCGATTGTAGGGTCCTTCAGAACATCCACCATTTGGTAGATTTCTTTGAGGACTAGTCATACTCGAACTAGCTATGCTGTCTGAAGCATCCATATTCATCTCAGAAATCTTCTTGACCTTTTTTTCGTGGACCTGGATTCAAAAACAACTATTATTAATGAAACACCTAGATGAGAGAAACCTCACATAGCATAATTCCAGAACATTCAAAGCATAGTGACATAATCACGGTTTGAACTACAATGAAGAATAAAACACAAGACAAAACACATTTCAAGGAAACCCAATTCAAGTTGCAATTCTGTCTTTGTCATCACAATCCTAACTTGTACAATGTCAATAACCCATCATCACAAGTATCAAAGTTATTTTCCTGAAAAATCACTTACAGCTATATAGAAGTTCCAGACTAATACATATTTTCTTTTACTAGAAGCAAAAGATTGTTTTGATATTCTGTAAATGTATTTTTCTAATGTATCAGTCAAACTAATGCTTTTAGTAACCAGCATTCATATGCACAGAATAGTTTCGTTACACATTTTTCGAAATATTTTCCGTCAAAAAAACATTTTTTAGTGTTAGAAAAGGCATGATATTGCAAATACAAGGAATAAACATAAGTCAGAGAAAATATTATTGCAAGAAAGAATACCATATAGATGACAACACATAATAAAAAAAACTAGTGAATCCAGGTGAAGAACCAAAATTTCAGTAGAAAGTTTGATAGTGAGTCATTGAAAGACTACATAAACATCACCAATGATGGCATAAAGATTTTTATTTTTTTGTATTATTTAAACTAAATAAATTATAAATTGTTATTATAATATAGAGTAGATGAGGCAAGAGTTAGGTAAATTTCCCTTTAGGCCATTAATGTAGATAACAAACCATAATGGACCTTAGACAAAAGGCCTAAAGGTGTGATGCCAAAAACAATAACAATAAAGTAAATTCACAAGGTTATATAATAACATTATTCAAAATTTCAACACATGTTAACATGTCACTTGCTGTCTGGCATGGTTCAGCACGGCAAGCACATGCCATCCTGGTATGTCACTTTAAAATTATTAGTCAATAGAAGAAAAGTGAAATGATGCAGTGAGATAAATAGAAAACTTATACAAGATAAAGAGATAAACATAAAAATCACTTCTAGTAGAGAAAGAAACAAGAAGCAGATTATTAAGGTATAGTCAGAAAATTAACAAGTATATCCAATTTTGACTTGAAAGACCTACCTTCCAGTATTTAATTGTCTTGTCATTAGTAGAAAGAAGAAAGACAGCACCATTGGCTGTTTGGCACCATTTGATCTTATTGATCTTCTCCTCTATTTCCAAGCTTTTAAGATAGTCAAACTGATGTATAAACATAAAAAAACCATCATAAAGTTCTGTATAACATTGAGATGGTCATATCTCAGAATTCAGATAGCCATCATTAAGAACAAAGTACCTCAGGTTCATGGCTCTGAAACTCAGTTTTGTAGCGAAACTCAGGGTGCCTAGTAATTGGATAATCTTCCTTCTCCAGGTCCTTTCGGGAACCATGCTGCACACCAAGTATACAAAAATATGAAAAAATTAGACGTACACACTAAAAAGAAAAAAAAATCAGTAGCTTGAAAATAATGCATTTGACGTACATCCCTAATATCGGTCCTTTCAAATAAAACAACACGTCCTCCTCGATCTCCAGTAGCAAGATGGTCACCAGATTTGTCAAATTCAATAGCTGAGATAATATCAACTGCACATAAAGCAGCACTAAGTAAGAAAGAATTGCAAAAGATACCAAGAAGCCAGGACATATATCAGAAAGCAATGCACAGGATCAAGAAGTTACACAGTGATGAATGGATTCAAAAAGAAAATTGCAACATCTAAACCCTGAATTCCACAATTGTTATTGCATAATCCATTCATTGGAGACGAATGCTTTAGCCAAAGAGAGTGCATGGAAATTAAAGCACCTTCTATGCCTACACTAGGCACAGAAAGAACAAAAACCAACCCAAATTCCCTAGGATTGTCACTTATATCCAGGTAATTTCGGATTAGATTGAACATGTTCTAGAGTTTACTCATCTTAACTTCTTTTCTCATCAAATGACTTTGTTACTCTAAGGGGGGTTTGCAAATCTCATAAGTTTTCACATGGTAACATCTTCTTTGTTTACACTTTACTTTCATCAATTGCTGAAAACATGGGGAAAAAAAGGAAAATGCAAAAAAAAAAGAGAGAAAGAAGTCAAAATAATGGTTTCATCGAAGATTCCAGTGATTGATTAAGAATATCATTCCTGCAAGAAAGTTCAAACTTGATTGAAGAATCCACAAAGAAAAAATCTATATATTTTTTATATTGTGAAAAAAGGAACAACAATCTTCCAAAATATATTTGGACATGTGACATCCAAAGATAGGCCTTAAATCAAGGGTTGTAATTTTATTTTTAGTGTAATCTCATTTATTGTAGTATCTAGGGGGGTCATCAAAGGGGTAAAGGGTGTAATATAAATCACCACTGAGCAAATGAATGAACTAAAGATTGTTTTTCTCATGATACATTTGAATGGTGTGATGCTACAATCTTCCCCCAAGGCAAGTTCGCAGGACTTCAAACGAATTTAAGACATCTATCTAGTTTCTAGATTCTATTCCCATAATTATCCCACCTCCATTACATAAGCCCTAAAGCCCCAAACCCCGACTGCCCTATACCTTCCCTTGGCCTCATGCAAACCACCAGGGTCCCAAACTGTTGAATGCCTGGTGTCACGAGAGTGACAAAGCATCAAAAACAAGCAGCGCAACCTCAAAAACCTTCTCGGAAAGGACTGCATTAATGTGAATCACTCCCCTAACTCTGATTCTTGTTTGAACCTGCTCTAATTTGCACTTTGATCAGTTATTTTCCTTTAGAAAGAACATGTTTTCATCAGGTTCTTCCCTCTTATCTCTCTATATTTCTTTCTCCTTTATCACTAATCCCCTGAACCCAGCACTCTTATAGGTCGTTCTATGTCAAACAGACAGAAAGACAAAACCATAGATAATCCATTCCATTCTGTTCTTTCAAAGGTAACATTGTATATTAAGCTCTCCGTAAAAAATGTGATACCAGGTTAAAGGCGTTTAGACAACACATGTAATCAGTAAGCCTTCATACAAAAGCATGGCAATTCAAATATTATTAACTTATTGTAATCCATTATATAAAACTTAAACACAAAAACTAATGCATTTTAAGAAATGAGAACCTTCATCTTCCAATAAGCTCCACACTATGGCCCAAGTTTACAATTTCAGGGCCAGCCTTAGCATTACGTCAAGGTTGCTCAACTAAGCGAACAAGGTTGAAATTATGGATAGATTCTTTCTAATTATAGGGGCAAAACTACATATATTGATCTTCCCCAGACCTTGCTTTGTTGGAAGTCTTGTACAACAAGCCACCCTCTTTTTTTGGAGAATTTCTTACCACATGACATGTCTATCTTTTTCAATATCTCATCTTCTGAATCAAAATTGAGTAATTTAGTATGAAGTGACAACAAAAGAAATAATTCTTAAATTTTGATTCACCCAACAACATTTTCTTAAGTTTGCAACTGACAAGAAATTGACGAAGCTATATTAGCTAGCTCTATCAAAAAGATGGCCAAAAATCCATAAAGTTGTTGATAACTAATTCAACCTTCTTGTGAACTAAATTGCCAGACTTTGCTTTCAGAGTGGTATCAGTAAAATGGTTAAATTTATGGTAAAAGATTGATGCATTTCACCCTCCTCTAAGGAGGTGTAGAAATGAATGTTATGCAGAAAAGTACATGATATCCTCTTACCTGATGATTGATGTGGAAATTTTAGATGAATAAGAATTTCAAATCACACAGTGTGTTATTTGGGATAATATTTTATGCTTAACAGAAAATTGCAAATATGGAACCTTCGGCTGCACTTCCCGGCAAAATTCCAAAATACAGAATATATCACTGGCTTCATCGTACAATACACACTGATTAACTAAGTCTGAGTTCCAATTGAGATACATTAAATTACATCCTGGCAAAAATAATAGTCGTTGTTAACACACGTGGAGAAAGTTAGAGTGGCAGGTGAAATAGAACTGATAGATAAATTAATGTAGATCAACAGATAATAGATAGAACCCACCCAAATAGCGCACGTAGCATGACTAATCCGACAAACCATGAAAGTTACCATAAAGTCGACCGAAGTTTCCAACGAAGCAACATAGTGACAATCAACAAGTTCATCTTTATTTATCATAGGATATATGCAGGTGTCCAAACAAAAACTATCACGGGACACAGGAAGTCCGTCAAACGACCACAAGAAGTAAAATATTCATACAAAAACGAAGAATCATATTTCTTTTATTTAGGAAGAGCAACAAGTTCCCATCTTTCGCGCAAGAAAATGAGGACCTCCATCAAATCACTTCCTTTGCGTTTGTTCCCAAACAAGGCACTTGCAATATTTCAAAAGCGAGTACAACGCAAACACAGCAGAAGAAAACAAACTTCAAAACGAACATATGAACCGAAGGAAGCCCTAAGCTCGTCCCACCACCATCGAGAGCCGATCTAACAAAGGGGAAGAAAAGATCGTACCTTCCTGGACCTCCTCCCCTTCCGCCCTCTCCCCGAACACCTGCGAGAATTTCCACTCCAGCGGCGGCGGCTTGGGGGACGAGTCCTCGGCGCCGTTCCCCTTCATCGTCCGACAAGTAATCAGGCGAGACCGGCCACCTACTGCAGCTGCAGCGGCATCAGCGATCGGGGGAGTTCAACGCGTCCAACTCGATTCCGGTTTCCTCCATGAAGATTTCCAGCGATCGGTACGTTACCGTTGGCGATCGAAGAAGAGGAAGTCTAGAAATACAAGAGGAGAACTCTTTTCCGCGATCCGGCTCGCTCTCACTCTTCGTCTGCTGCCCTAACGAGGCGAAGCATGGATTGGTGGTTTCCCCCCTTCTCACCGGCTATCAATCATTCCCGTGGAAATGAGACGTATGAAAGCCTTGTCCAAGTTAGTTAGGTTTACAAGTGTACTAGTTGGGCCGAGACCTACTTTAAATGGGCCGGATCACTGTCTTGACCAATTTGAGCCCCCACTTTGGGAAAATGACGATTTGACTTTTGGAGCTACACAGTCAAACAGCGGCCCGTTGACAACGAAACAGAGGAAGTGTATGTAAGACTGTCGGCAGATGATACAACCAAAACCATTACATGATAAAAACGAGAATTACATCGGAATACATTAAATAGGATTAAAAAAACGAAAATCACGTGTATAATCTGAGATTTTTTTCGATTCAATTAACTCAAAATTGATTTTAATTTAAAAAATACTAACTCAATCGAGTTTACTATCTTAAATCATTAACTTATTCGAACTGATTAATTAAATTAAATTCTATGCGGCTCTACCTCTCTCACTCTCTCGACGTAACTCATATTTAAATTCTCTTTTACTGGGTATTGGATCAAAAATTTTATTTTTATTTAAAATATATATTTTTTTATTTAAATTAATTAATTAATTATTAAAAAAAAATTTACGGGTTCGAGCAGCGGAATGTATTCGTGTATGCTTCCGACCGACACGATCTGTGGTTGTAGAAAGGCTTTTGACAAACTACACCCGTTTTGTTCGATAAGTTGTCACCCGATCACTCTTCTTCTACGGAGGTGAAAGCCCACAGAAAGAAAGCAAGGAGGAGACAAAGGAAGCTGCAATGGCCGTGACAGAGAATGCATTGGTCCTTCTGCGGGCTTCATGCGGCGTTCTGCGGCCATCCGTCCTCCTTCCCATGTGGTGAAGAAGGGAACACAAACCAAAGCAGAGACGACGCGCAGGCAGCAGCTTCGGCTGGTGCTGTGAGGGAGGAGACATCCACGCCATCGAAGAGTGTGCCCGTTGTTCCACCATGTGGGCTGCCAGTGTTGCCATCTCCGGGACTGTTCTCTGCGTGGCCGCCGATCACTTCCGGCCAAACCGGAATGAGATAGTTAACCATCATACCAAATTAGTATTATTAGTTAACTATCATACAAACTAATATATTGCCTTATGAAAGACATGAGCTAATGATATGATCTTATAAGTTAAGAATACTACCTATTAATTTTTTATGTCAATTTAAGTATTGCATATGTAGTTAAGCGGGAATTTGATGCATTGAATATGTTCTTTATACATATACATATATATATATATATAATAATAATAATAAGAATGATGTGAATAACAATAATAACATTGTTGAATGTTGGAGAATTAACATTGGCCAGCAAATTAAGAGGCATTGAGCGTTTCTTGTCTCAACCATCGATGCTTGTTGATAGGGGAAATAATGGCGACATGACGTGTCACGACGACGACCCCACGTGGGTGCCACTCTGCCTGATGTGGAAGGCAATAATGCTGACTCGACTCACGCTGACGTCGCCCGCTATCAAGCAACGACTTCCGACCCCGCACGCTTGACCGTGGCAGTGCAGGATGACTACCGACCCTCGCCCATACCCTGCGACGATCCAGTTCTCCACGCAACGCCAGCAACGGTGTCAGACGCCATCAGAGGCACGACCCCGCCTCACACAGGCGGGTACATCAGGTGACCATTAGCTTCCCTATAAATATCCTGGCACCCTAAAGAGGTAAGGGAGACAAAAGCACTCCCTCTTCCACCACCCTCTCCACGTTGCTAACTTGATCGTCGGAGGGGTCGGGTCGACCCTCCGACCCGACCAGTGTGCAGGTGCGAGACGAGGTTGCCTCTTCCCCAACGCTGCGGCAGAGCTCTCCCCCTGACGGGACATCCGTAGCACCGCGGTCGGCCACCAGAAGGACCCGAGGCACGCCACGCAAGATCCCCGCCATTCGGACCCCTGAACCAGCCGCGTCGACCCGAGGTCACGGCTAAAAAAGTTATTTACCATAACACGTGATGTTTTGTTGCCTAATTATTCTCGTCTTTCGGTGATCAGAATCAGTTCTTTGTACATATGATTACAACGACAAAATATCACTAATCCAAAGAATTGATTCTTGATGATAGGAAGATAGAGAATAATAAACATCATAAATGAAATCTGATCTCATTATTGTGACATGGTCGTCTTCTCCAGCACTCGAAAAGTCCAAATCAAGGAGTGAGATCAAACAAGAGTGTCACCCAAATATGGAATTGAATCCGATTCCACGCCAACCGTCCACTAAAGAGCGATGCGTAGAATCTCAAAGTCTTATCTATCTCTCAGCCCGAAGTTTCCTGGAAACGATCAACGCACACGGAGCAACGTTGAGCATTACAAATCATGCAGATGGACGGCTGCAAACACTGGGCAGTGAGAAAACGAACGGCTGAAGTGTTTCTAATCTGCAACGATGAAAAATAATGATTCTACTTTATGCCTTCATAATGCCATTAAGGATAAAAGTGTTTCACCAAGTAGTGTTTCCACTGTATTACACCTTCAATGTTACTGGTCTTAACTCAGCAGTGGAATTCTCCGGAGTGGCTGCCGAGGGAGCTGCCTTATATATAGTCCACCAAGCTTGAGATGGGAGGAGACTTCACCTTGGGGATCATCTGTTCTTGTCATTTCCTCCTCTTCGTCTTGTCGTTCCTGTGGCGTTTGAAGAGAAAGTTCGTCTCTTTCGAATGGTTTGAATCATTCTTTTGATTCTGTTCTGCTATTAAAGCTTTAATTTTCCTGCAACTTCACCTTCATACGAAGAATCTATACGGAAAAAGAAAGAAGAAAATCCCATATTTGCACACTGGTTTCATTGTCAGACGGCAAGTCCTCTCCTCGTTGATTCCTGTGCATCGCAAAGCCCAGACTGCATCAAGATCTCACGACTTTTGTGAGGAGACACTGCCTGTTGCTCTTGTTCTTCCTCCGAATAATGCAGGATTCGACGGCGTCGGCGGCATTTCAAGCGGCGATGACTCGGTTCCCAGAGCCAGAGCAGAACCTGCGGTGCCCCCGATGCGACTCCACCGACACCAAGTTCTGCTACTACAACAACCACAACATCTCGCAGCCGCGCCACTTCTGCAAGAGCTGCCGCCGCTACTGGACCAAGGGCGGCATGCTGCGCAACATCCCCGTCGGTGGCGGCACCCGGAAGAACTCCAAGCGCTCCGGTTCCTCCTCTTCCTCCTCCTCTGCTGCTTACAGTTGCAAGCGACCCAATCCCTCCAGACCCCCTTCCCACCTCGCTGACCTCCCCAAGACCGAGCCCGTCTCCGTTCTCTACCCGCCGCTCGACCCCGACCGCCACCTGCTTGACATGACCGGAAGCTTCAGCTCGCTGTTGGCATCCGACGGGCACTTGGAGACCATCCTGGAGAGCTTCCACCCAGTTTGCGGCGGCGACGTCACAGTGTTGCCGAATTCAGCCAGCGCAATCCGTTCCGGTATACATATCCAGGGGATGGAATTGCAGGGCTCGGTCAGCAACAGCAACACACCGGCGGCAGCGGTGGAGAACTCGGAAAGATTGGAGGGTGCTCCGGGATGCTGGGCCGCGTCATGGACCGATCTTGCCATCTACAATCCAGGCTCGAACATGCAGTGAAAGAACAAAACTTGGAGCCAGAAACCAAGAAAGAGCACATTTTTCTTCCTTCTTATGGAACTCTATCCAAGAGACATGGATATTTGGTAATAGGTACAGATAGATACATAGTTTTGGGAATGTGGTGATGGAAGAGATGAACTTTCGATCAACTTGTTTTGGTTTCTAAGCTTCAGCTCTCTCTGTTTAATCTCTTCGATCTTAATACGAGTTGATGATACTAAATGTAATCTTCCATGAACATCTGACGGTCAAGTCTTATCTCCTTCCTTCAGCCACCACCAAACCCAGGGCAGGTTTACCAGCTCAACTCATGTTTCTTGGCTTCGATGGTTGAACCCTCAGCACTGCGCTGGGATCAGCAATGTGGCTCTCCTGTGCATGGTGCTCGCGTGATACGAAGCTTGATCCACTCCTTTGTCTCCGTTTCCATCATCTCATCACCAAAACCATGTGGTGGTTGGCCTACACAGCATCATGAAGCTGTGTCACGCCTCGTCCCCTCGGCGCAGGGCTGTATCAGTTGCTCCCCTGAGACCACATCAAGAGCAGAGTATTCCCCGCGTGCTCTCATATCCGAGAACAGAGTCTTCGCAGCTTCTACTTTACATCATTGCAGACACATGCTAAAGTTGTTGGCAGCGATCCAATCTTGCACACTCGCACGCTCAGTAACTCTGGTCCTGCGTTGCTTTGGCAATTGCCTTGGTGCAGCCGCCGGACCAGTCGAGCTGGTGTGGATGGCATTTGCAAGTCCCCATCGTAAACCAGCAGACTCATAATCTCCATCTGATGGTTCTGACCAAATGCGCACAAGAATTAGGTGAGACTCGGACAATATGTTGGAATTATCAGTGAGTTCATAAAGAGCAGAATCAAAAGACTTCGGTCCACTCTACTCGTCCAGAATGGCAAAAGGCTCTTGTTCCTGTTCGTCAACGATGGAATATATTAATGATGAGCTCATGAGACATGACCTCAGAGATGTCTCCCAGTCTTCCTTTCTCTTTAGGTCTTTAGGGCCACTGGGAAACTTCCCTCTTCGAGTCCACAGCCAACATCATACTAGTTTCTACTGGGCAAAAGTTGCCATCGAGTCAAGGTCTATGACTTGCTGCCCACAAGTCTTTACCCTATTGCAGTCATTCAACTGCTTGAGTTAGAATATTTTGGCAATCTATGACTCATAGCCAGTAAAAGTGTGTCTCAAATTAAGGTAAAGCCAGTCATGGAATAAAAGAGAGGGGAAGTGCTTGTGAAGCTTCATGAGAAGATGCCAGGAGACTCCTGTCGAAAACTCTCTGGTCTTTCTGGACTCAACCACAGCTCCATTTTCAGTGATGAAGAGGAGTTTATTGAGTGGAGCAGAAGACCTCAAACTTGATGATATTGAGTTGGTGGGGGATGCAGATACAAAAACAAGTACACCAAGAACAATGCTAAGATAGTATTTCATCATCTTGTAAGATCATGCTGATTAAGTTCACTCCTTGATACATGCACTGCATTGCAACACAATATGCTACATTAACAATGGAGCATCTTAACAGACATCATATGTATTACTTGTCAGAAACCTCAAGCTGATTCTACTGATTTCCATTACAAGGTTGAACACATCCAAACATGCAAAACAGAAGCATATCCAGTATCATTATCTGAATATGTTCATCCTTCCATCATCACTGCCAATGTAAAAAAGTTGGACCAGATTAGAAATTCTCTTCAATATTGCATCATTCTCTGGGAGATGACCAGACTAGGAATTTAATATCTATAATGTTTTAATGTTCTCATCTATAACTCAAAGTCTCCAGAAATCCTAGCATTCTTTTGCTATTGTTATATTCATCTAAGCAACTTTTATGATTCTCTCTCCCCCATTTCAATCATATCAATGGAAAAATCTTAGTGCTTATGCTTTCTGGCATCAACAGAGGCCTCACCAAGAATAAGCATCCTCATCAAAGGGGAAAATTTCTTTCATACTGGGCAACACATTCTTCCGGTGGAAAATGCACCATCAATTCCTTCAAGCTCTCCCACTCACATTTGAGGAGGATATATGCTCCAGAGACTAAATCCAGACCACAGCCCAGCTTGAGTTCACCCATACTAGAGAAGTGTTAAGGATATAAATACACATATTGCATCTATCAGTTGAAGTGTTTAGATGAAATAACATTGGCAAAAAGATTTAAAATGGTATCAAAAATCTTCGGTTCGCGATTAATCCAAATTCATTGAATCCATGATCTATGTAGATCCATCCATATGGAGGCCCCTCTCACTATGTAATTGTGCTGCACAAATCAACTTTAATGGCAGGTTTGGCATTGTTCACTTTTCCCATATTTTTCTGAAAATAAAACTGCGTTGATTGATTTCATTTACTTATTTGATATCTTAATATCATCTTCATCAATGATCTAATGGAAGCTAAAATTTAACATCCAACAGAGTCATTTTTGCCCATGGATTTTTCCAAGTATATGATGTCTTTTATTTGCATCCAACTCTGAGAACTTCAGCGAGCATGAGCGCAGGTGATCTCTAATTTGCTTTCCGGATTACATCGAACTCAGTGCAAGATTCGCCTCTGTTATGCCTAATGAACCAGCAAGGAAGCCTTCTTCCACGGCCATCCGCCTTCCTCGACTGCGTCAAGCTCTAAAAGAAGAGGCAAGCAGCAGAGCAGTCGTCCACCTTCGACGAAGGAAACGTGAATCTCCACGCTCGAACTGCTGCTTCCACCACCGCCTTCGACGCCTCCTCTTTCTTCCCCGTGGACGACACGATCGACACGACCATCTCGTTGTCGAGCACATCCCACACCTGAGAGAACACCGCCGTCAAGAACAGAGAAGCACTCTTAACGCGATTTTTGACGAGAGCTCTCGTTCCCTTTTACCCCGTCGGTGGCGAGAACCACGAACCGATCTCTGTCGCTGAGGCGGTGATACGCGACCTGAGGGATGGAGATGACGCCGTAGTTCTTGAGCTCGAAGTCGCCGAAAGCTCGCGCCATGGCGAGCCCCGGGAAGTCCACGTCGGGCAGCCACACTCGTTGGACGTGAGGTTCATCCTTGCGCGCGAAGACCCTGCCGTTGTTCTTCTTTATCCGCTCTGCTTCTTCTGCACCAAGAACAAGCTCAAGGCTTCGCCTTTTCAACCGGGCGAGCAACCTGAAACAGAGAGGAGTTCTTACGGGGCACATTAGGCTTCAAATCGATCGTGAGCTGAACAGCTTCGAGGCGACCATCTACCGACACTGTTCCTAACACCGCCCTGGAATCTCCAAGGTTGGCGATGATCATATCCCTCCCCTTGTATCAAGAAAACACCGTATGAATCACATGGTCTTTTCAGAAGAAGGATTTCAACAAGCTCGAATTTACTTGCTGAATGACTGATACTGCCGTGGATCCACTGCAGGAGCAGTCCAGGTGGAGCTGCTCTTCGAGCTCATTGTCCATGTCTCTGAAGGCTTTGATGCATGCCTCTTTCCACTCATCGAACATGTCAGGCGACACATCGGAGAATTCCTCACCGTCGGCCGAGCTCGTGTCGTCGCCGCCGGCGGAGCGGTGGTCTTCGTCGTCCAGCAGAAGGGCGTTGTGCTGACTCAGAAGCAAGGCAGGCAGGTTGTCCCTCACCATCCTGCTTACTATGTGGCCGCTCCTTCCATGCCCATCAAATACCCCACAAAAAACTCCATCTTCCACTCCATAATCCTAAATCAGAACAACAAAGTTGCAAATTTATCTCAAACTTGAACTCCTAATCATTCAGCCATCACTAGAATCTAGCAGTTCACAATCTTATTGTAATTAAGTTCTTTCAAGCATCATCTATCTTTTAATCGATTGGTGGGTTGTGCTTTGTATCTTCAACATCCTTGTTTTTATCTGATTTACCTTTGATCTGAACTTGGCCAATAAAAATTCAGCGTTGCAGAAGACTACAAGTCACACCAGATGGTTAAGAGATCATCAGAAATAAGTCTCTTCTTATAATTATACATCCTGATCAACAATAAACTTTGATCCCAGCAGAGAAATCTAACACCACCTTCACAGGATCTACAACAAGACTTTGAGGCCACATACCTTGCAGAGGATTGCAGCATCCTGGTTTAGACCCTTCTTCCCTTGCTGAGAATAGAGGCAGGCAAGCCTTCTCATTCCTCTCTCCGGACACGAATCATCGTCTTCCAGCACAAAGACTGAATTCTCATCACGCACTTGCTTCTCCAGTGATGCAGAAGAGAAGCAGATCCCCATCTCTCTCTCTCTCTCTCTCTCTCTCTCTACCTAAGAACTTTGGCTCAACCACCACCACATCCTCAAAGTATACCAAGTGCACTTTCATATGTCCTCTCACCAAGCCACACACTGAAAAGAATAAGATTAATATCTGCATGAGAGGTTACATCATTTGCTGGGTCAAAACTCATATGCTAATAATTGAACACCTAGAAGTTTATATATATATATATATATAAAACCAAGTCTCTATTTTATATTAATATTAAACTAAGATAAGTATGGAAATGTTGTATGCAGCACGAGGTGTAGTTCTCGGTAGCAGAAACTTAGACGGTTCTTTAAGCAGATGTGATAGCAGTGACCATGACGTTAAACTAACTCCGTTGGAGTTTCCTCCATATGATATTATATATTAATACCACACCTGAGTGCCTTTGAATCGTCTCACACTGATATCAATAGTCTCAACTAAATTGCTGTGTTATTAAGTCATAGGCAATCTGATACTTATGTGCTTTAGGGACATGTGATATGGCAGACTTAAGTGGTCAACGCGAGCACATTGTCAAAGGACCGAACCATGAAGAAACCAAACCATGCCTCATCCTGAAAGCTGAAAGAAGACCAGCTGTTAGTTTTATGTGGACAATGTTGATAGAAGTATGTCCAATTCAAATTGGTCGGAAGAAGAGCAAGTTGCAGATGTTTAGTATTGCTTCTTGAATCGCTGTCATTCATCCCTGAGAGTTCTGGAAACAATCGTGGCCCATATTTGACCGTCTCTCAGCTTGACAATGCAGCCTGCCATGGTTGTGCAGCGAGTATGTTTGTTAGAATGCCTAAATGATGTCGATGGAGGACTGTGGCTGCCCATCCAAGTCCTCTAGACTTGTGTGATAAGGAAGGAGGAGCTTTGACAATGGATGTGTATGAGTTGACTGAAAAAAGATTCTAAACTAGCTTGCAGTGAAGAGATGTCCATTCTTGAAATACTATTTAGGTAGGTTATGACAGGGATTCCAACCTTAAAGTTGTCATTTTGATGGTTAGGACGAAGAAATTTATTGCTGGAGTAGAAATTGTTGCTTGCTTGATTAGGGTGTGGAATGAGATACAGCCAGGTGATGCTTACCTACATGAAAGACTGCAAATGAAATCTGCTATGCAGTTGCTCACCGTCACGAACTTAAATGAAACCTTTCATAGTTCTTTAGGATCTACAAAAGAGAAAATGAGTTAGAGAAAATGTCTCACTCGGGATCCACAAGCAAACATTTCAGAAAATACTTCATAATCAATGCAAATTATAAACAGACTTCGCAAGCTTTGAACGGTCGCATAACAAATGATCAAAATGGTGTACTAATTTCAGCGAAGTTTATGGACTTCAGGAGCTACTGGGCGATAGAGCGGTACTTCGTCTAGGTGTGATCCAAGAGAAAGGGGACAAAGGTCGATTGTGAGCGAACACAATGAAAGAGGCTTGTGATATGTTAACAGAGGCGACAAATGAAGGAATCACAATCCGAATTCATCTCAAAAGGATCAGAATATAATGAAGATATCACCAGGAGACGACATGATATAGTGGGATCGTGGTGAAACAGTTCGTAACAATACGATACACACTAATATAGTCCGCTCACAGGTGACAGGTGAGTAGAGAAAGAATGATCCATATACAACGTTCGCATGGAAATAAATGATAGTAGTATTCATCGCTGCAACTTGTGGAGTTACAGCGATGTGCACAGCCCGAGATTGAAGACGAAGCCACACACCGGGACTGACATTGGGTTCCGGTGAGTTCCCTTCGTACCACCGGACGTGGGCGAGCTGGATCAGCAGCCCCAGGCTCAAGGACTCCTACAACAGCAATGAGTGCGCCTATCCCACTCCCAACGCAGTCTTCAGCTCTCAAAGAGACTGCTACAACGGCGAGAACTATGCCGTGGTTTCCGGCGAGGAACCTCTCTTCTACTTCGGTGGCTCGGGAAGAAACCGCTTCTGTGAATGAGTAGTCCCAGTTGTAGGTGTGACGAGGAAACCATGAAAGACTGCATTGAAGGCCAATGCCATCAGTGCTGCTCAACTCAAGCAGCGCTTTCTTTCTCTTCTTTTCCGGATCTAATTAGATACACCACAAGGCATTAGATCCCAACCGGCATCCAATTCCCCTTCTCCCTCTTTTCTCGATCTTATTCATTCTCCTTCGTGCGTTAGGCATCACAATTGTGTTGACCAAACAAGCTCCACGACGGCCATGGATCAGGAATCTTTGTTGTGCCTCCTCTTTCTTCTTCTTTCTTGCGGTTCTTCCTTCCTTCAAGAACCTTGAAGTTAGGATTCAGAACAGACCACGTGAACATTAATGCTATGTACATGGTTGCCGGAACATCAAGTTGGAAGGTGACAACCCAAAATCTAGATCAGAAATGAGCAGGTCATATCGATCGAAAAAGAGATGCATCCGCATAATGATCATGGAAAGGCAGCGAGGAACTAAGATCATATTTGAGAAATGAGAATGGTTGTGGAAGTCATGCAACTCATCAATAGAAAGAACCCATCCACAAGAAATACATCATCAAGCTAGATAGACAGAGCAAGAGATAACAGCAGAACATCAATCTCTCTGATGTTTATAGATGCGTAGATCTAAAAAGCTTGGATTGTGACATGCATTGACACAATACCTAAACGAATCACCACCATCCATGCACCACCTTGGTGCATCTGTCCTTGAGCCACCTGAAGCTTTTCCTCAAGCCGCCCTTCATCTTCCCCTCCACAGCGTAAGCCTTGTATCCCGCCACCCTCTTCTTCCTCTGCAGCTCAGGGTCACTGAGGCTCCACCCAGACTTGGAGGAGGAGGAGCCGGAGGTGCTCTTGCCCTTCTTGAGCTTGATCTCTTTAGAAGCCTGGTTGCCGCCTTGGGAGGAGGCATAGGATGCACTGTAGCACCTGAAGTCATGAGGGCCTGAGATCGAAGGCTGAGGCCTGCTCCCATAAACCTCCATCTCCATCCTCCCATCCCCATACGACCCTGACCTGAACTCCTCCATCGCACCAAATGGAGATGTCGAAGCAGAGCTTTTCTTCTCTTCTTCCTTAAGCCTTTCACCTCACCATTTTTTCTTGCGTGTCTGATGAATCAAAGCAGGCAGAGTGGGGGAGAGTTAAAGAGAGAGATGCTGTGCTCTCATGGGGTCAAAGGGAAGGTGGGTTGGCTCGTGCAAGCAAACAGCTGTTCTGAGAGACAATGTGGTGGTTGCTGCCATGACTTGTGGCATGACATCCAATGTGCTCAAATTTGCATTTAGTTGTAAGTAATTGTTAGTCAAATATGCTTGGTTTGACCAGGGAATCTAATCTACTTGTCCTCCTGCTGAGGGAAATATGATCTGCTTGTCCTTGTTTTGGGATTGCTGCCATCCTTTTCTAGTCAATTGAATTTAGTTGAGAAATTTATCATGCCATGCAAATTACATTGTGTGTGTATGCAGATATGTTCTTGTGGCTATTATCCTATCTGAGAACAATGATGTTTTTTGTGCAAATGATTCATACTCAAAAATATTAAGCACAAGAAAAAAAAGAAAACCTAAGGTGATCCCACCCATCATTAATGTGTGCCCTTGATTTCACATTTTATGATCATTAGGTTGTCTTCATTGGGTTCCTTTTGTGGGATTCTAAAGCACTGCTATTTCACATAGGCATTCATTAATATTCCTAAACTATATATGTATATATATATATATATACATTTTAAGCTTTAATTAAGAAGAACACTAAGATGCCTGACCTGTTACTCTCAGGTTCTCTGGCTACTTGCACATGGATTTGCTATGACACCAGATCACTACTCTTGTCTTTTCTAAATAGCTTAAGCTTTTAAGATTAATTAGTGGTAATAAATTTTATCACAGTATATATACATATACACACACATATATCTTTTCTATTGTAATTCATCTGATGTTTAATTTATGCTTAAATGGGCATTTGTGCAATTCCATTTGTAATTTTGTCTTAAACTGTGCACTTGAATTGAGTTCATGCATCAAACTTAATCCAACCAATAGAGTTTCCAAATAGTAATATTTTGTAATAGATTAAGCTTTTGAAATCTAATAGTATCATTTCACAGAAAAAGATTTGTCTTCTTGTGGAACTGGACAAGTACATCAAAGCATTGAAATCATATGGCAGTAGCATTTCTTGGTACCAAATGTGAAGGTTTTTTGTTCTCAGGTGAGCATTCATATGCATCCAAGATCAAGCATCATTCAGTATGATCATCTAGTTCTTCACTGTTCAGTTTCTAGAATAATTTGGGTTTGTTTTGTTGGCACTTATCAATTTGCATGTGATATAAAATTTAAGAGTAAGATCTCTGGTCTAGAAATGCTGGTATGTCATGATGGCTTGAAAAGCATGGAGCCATGAATGCAAATAAATGGTAGATCACTTTTCAATTTAGATTTTCATTTGGTTCTACTAGTGTAGATTTCTTATACATTGGAGATCTGTGCTTTGTCTCTATTCTCAGGTTTGAAGCAGCAAGCCTTTGTTGCAGATAAATATCTTGGAGGATCCATGATTCAGTTCAAAATTCTTGACATATATTACACAAATAACAAAACTATAGCAAGGCACAAAACAAATAAGCTATTGATCAGGTTTTGATTATGATTAAGTTTTCATCATCATCATCATCCTCATCCTTTAGATTAGAAATTATATGAGTATCACAAGACTGCACTCAGAAAAAGTTGAGCAACACAATAGTAACCTTGACATCTTTGCCAGGTATGTGTTCTGCTTAGTAAGCTGACTTGTTGAGATTGGAGCCAAGCTGGGAAATCTACATAGCAAATCAACACCTTGTTGCATTGCCAAATGCAGGTTCAGACAAATTGTTGGTTGTCATCTTCTTCAAGTGCATCAGAAAATTTGGAAGTAAGCTTCATTTTCCACATCACTTTGGAAAGTGAAACACTTGCTGAGATTCCTGGATCACCTGGCTCACATAGAAGTCATTGCAATTACCTGCTGCAGCTCTGTCATGCCACTTGATCTTGACATGCCACAGGATTACAGTGCTCGCATGACTAAAGAAAATTTTCTCAAACTTCATGGTGATCTAAGAATCCTATGGAAAACACAATTCTGCAGTAGAACTTGAGATTCTTACTTAATTCAGTGAGAGCATAGTCCTTCCAATTTGCAAGTATGGTATGCTTATCAGTGTCACAAGTCACTTTAAGATTTTATATCAGCACAATGCATATGCCTGCTTAGAGGACTCTTAGAGATGTTCAAGAATGCTTGTCAATGCCCTGTAATTTAACCAGAGCTTTTACAGACAGAACTTGGTACAACTAAAGAACTTGAAATTTCTCAGCTTGATCGAAACAATTCTAGTTTAGAAACAAGCAAATGGCAGAAAGCATCCTGGTCGAAACAATGTAAATCTCTTGGCAAACAGAAGTTTCAATTGCTCAGATGTTATAATCACACATGACATCAAGATGTTCAATAAACCAGAACACTAAGACACACAAGCATGTCGTTTGCGGTAACAGTGAGTCTCTCTACTCATGCTTCTCATCGAAATCTTATCCTTCTGTGGCAGATGATTCTCTAGTTTGCAGCATAACAATGAAGGAGGGTTTGAACAGTCAGTGGTCTTCATGTCAATGTCAGATGAAGTCTTCCGGTGAGACTGAACACCCCCTGATGGATGTTCCTGCACTGTCATCTTCTGTGTATTCGAAGCCTTCTGCTTTGCCTTGATCGATTCAGTCAGGTTCATGTAGTTGGGCCTACTCCTGTTGCTGTCCTCAGTTCTATCTGAAACTAAACAGGCGCTGCTTGAGATCGGCGTAGACATGTAAGCAGAAGATGATGATGCAGAACTCTCATTGTTGAATAAGCCAGTGCTTGGAGATGAAGCACAAAGAGTTCTGCCGCAGTGGCTGGCAGGCATGGTTGGAGGTCTTGCTGAAATCCTCATGGAGATGTTGTTCTTCTTTATGTTCACTGGACCGAGTTCAGAACATGTTGAATAGATTCCACGGTTATCTTCTTTGCATTGAGCTTCAGAAACATTGCATTCCATCAACCTGCTCTCCCAGGTTTTTGCAGCCATCCACCGCTCTAACCAGTTCCAGTTCCCACCACTCCTATCAAAACCACGATGCTTGAGAGAGGCCGGAGTGTGCTTCGACCTTCCAGTCACTGCTGGTCTTGATTGCTGAAAGAAGAAATGATAGAACAATGCAAATACTAATCATCAACAGAACAAGGCAGACCTCATCATGCTACAACAAATTATGATCATTGTATTCACCTACCTGATGAGATAGAGCATAACAAGTAACCTTCTCCCTCTTGACAGTTCCTTTCTGCCTCATGTGTAACTTTTCTCTTACTTCCTCTAACGTTCCTGGACTGTCACACCATCCTTCCTGAAATCCACAAGATGATTCAGAACTATAACGAGACATTATTCATTTTAGGTTTGTAATTCGACAAGACAAAGCTGAAAATAATTGCTTCGTAGCAATTCTCAAGAACATACTTGTGAATCAATTACTATGTACAGGTATCAGCTCTCCCCTGAGCCAATATAATATGATTCTGAGTGGATTAGAACGACGAGCACCACATGCAACGCTATGTATCAATATGCACATGATTCAGCGAGAAAAGCTTGCCTCTGCTTCCTTGAGAGGATCCAGTTTGCCTCGACGAGCCTCGAGCATCTTCTTCACGGCCAGTCCCTCGGTGGACATGCGCGCCCGCCGCGCCCGCACGCGCGCCTGCACTCGGACGAGGGCCTGCATGCACCTCAGGGCCACAGCCGCCTGCTTCCTCACCTGCCGCCCGCGCACTATGGCCTGCAGCCTCACGATCCCTCTCAACGCCCTCAGCGCTCTCCTGGCCTTCGATCCCGACCAAGAAACAGAGGCACACGTTTTACTGGAAGAACGTCAAACGACGACCTCAAAAGCAATCTTCTTCTGTTACCAGGAAGGCGCGGAAGGCGGTCTGGATGCGGATAGCCGCCCACTCCTGCCTGACCACCTGGAAGTCCCTGGGCGGGGCACGGACGACGGTCGCGGCGGCGGTGGTGAAGGCGTCGGTGACCGACGAGACGTCGGAGGCCTCCGACGCCACCGAGCGGTGGCAGATGCCCCCCGACCCCCGCCGCAGCGACAGGTTGTCCCATGAGGAGCTCCTCCACAGCTTCTTCCACTTCCTGCTCCTACCATTGCCACCACCGCCACCACTATCACTCTTTTCCTTCAAGGCGAAACAGAACAGCCACCCCATTCAGTATGGTCAGCGCTCAAGTGTGGAAGAAGAGAAGAAACAAGAGAACAGCAGAGAATGCAGTGAGTACAGTGCCATCCTGCGCTTGCTTCTTGAGGCCTGCCATGAAGGACTTGATCCACTTCCCTGAGCCACCCATACCTTGAAGTGTTCTCCTTGCAGTGGAACCTTACAGAAGCGAAAGAGAGAGAGAGAGAGAGAGAGAGAGAGAGAGAGAGAGAGAGAGAGAGAGAGAGAGAGGACACTGCGTGGGGTACTCTCGAGAGCATAGCAGCTCCTTTTGCATCGTATTTGAAATTCAAAGGAGAAAGAGAGGGAGGGGGAGGAGGAAGGGGATGCAGAGGGAAGACAGAAAGCCATCGCCGCACAAATACTGCGCTTTCGATCCTTTTGCTTTTGTTGGGGAACGAGGTGCCATGATGATGCAGTTGGTCGTACTCAATAGCCACGCGGTCGCGAATCTCAAAGCAACACGTCACAACCACACCACTGGATCAATTCAAGAATCACACAAACCAATCGAGTTCAAAATGTCGTCGTGCGGATCTCTAGACCGGTGCGAATCGCAAAGCAACACGTTCGCCCATGGACTCACAACAGCCCAACTAGATCATTCACCGTACAAACTAAATCAAGCACGGACTATAGCGGTGCCGATCCCTCATCACCGGACTTGTGATCGTTCGCGAATCTCAAAGCAACACGTTTGCCTATATAAGCTCGGAACCATTTTTTCGCGCTGCTTTGCTACTTCGCTTGGTCGTTGCTCTTTGAGATCTCCCGATCGGGTGGCAGACGATTGTATCAGTCTCGTCCTCATCTTCTCCATCTCCTCTCTTCCTCATCTAGATGGTAAGACATGTCTTTCGATTTAGATCTGTGATTTCTTTTTGCCTA